ATAATTCTAGAAACGTTGCGTCACGTGGTCATGTGACTCGCTGACGCAACAGTATTTATGTGGAATCACAGTTCTCTCACGCAACTTCTTTCCTCAAGCTGAAGACAGGCACAAAAAAAACAACTTACACTTTAAGCAAAAGTAGGAAAGATTTAGATTCATGGAATTTTGATATGCCTGTGTTATGTTTTATGGCAATGGCCCCATTACATGTGAGGTTTCCTACATTTTCGTAGCTTTAGTATTAAAGTATTTGCAGAACTAAGAACGTTAATTTTGGGCCTCAGCTTAAAAATGAGTTTGCTCATTTATAAACTGATCCCCAAAATTAATATTCTTAGTTTTACGAGTACTTTAATACACATGGAGTGACTTCCAGAAAAGCACTTACCATTTGAAACTAGGCTACTTGCAACTAAGGTAACAAGCATTAGCATCCCTCTTGCATCTTTTTCCCAGCTGTTATATAATAAATGTGGAATTACAGAATTGTTGTACAACATTCCCATGTTGTAGAAAATTTAGAAAAATATGCTCTATAATGAAAATGAAAAAAAGTTATATGTTGTGGAAAGATAGGTTTATAGTAATAAATTATCACAATTCCTTCTATTGTCTTCTTCCTCTCCCTTTTTTTTTCCTTATCATCCATTTACAATGCTGGCTTCATACTAGTTATTAGTTATCTGAAACAAATTTTTGAAGTTACCAAGTGAACTTTCAACAAGAATTAATAAAAGAAATAAGTCAGTGTACTAATCTCTTTATTGTGTCTGTTTTTTCAATCATTTAATGCACAAAATCTTTTTTTAAAAGTTAAAGATTGAGTTCTCTAAAGACCTTATTGTATTGTATTATTATATATCTTTAACAACCATAAGCTATGATATTTTGTTATTGACTCGTTTTACATTAGATGTATAGTATTGTTACGTCTCTGCTCGTTTGTTAATTTCCAGTATAAATTCTTTCCAAGGAACTTCAGTGATACAAGTCCTTTCTTAATTAAAACTAGTTTATTCTTCCTCCATACAACACAGAATTTACACAGTCACTTTAACCTTAACAAACTTTTATAACACATGCTATAAATCACAGTGATTCATACACTTTACTTATGGTGCCTACTGTTCACTTGACTCAATTATCTATCTCTTCAATCTATTGCACTGGTTTTTCTCGCCAGGCTTATATACTAAAAAAAAAGGGCATCTAGCAAACACTGGGAAATTTGCAGGGTTCCCCGATAAGTCATGATCCTTCTAGAAACTCCAACAAGCTTGCTCCCAGCATCGCGTGACTTCTGCTGTTGTAACAGTATATAGGCATACCTGAATTTTCTGCCTTCTTATTTTAATATAAGAATGTTTCAAAATTTATCATCTATACAGGTGTACGTGAAATTTACATGTAACATGGTCATGAAGGTCCTTAAGTTGCTGTCACACTAGCTGCATGTTATTTTGTCATTCACCTGTGATAATATCTTTAATCTTCCCATGGGAGAGATAGCTGTAAGACTGTGCATAGTATTTGCTGTTAAATAGCTGTCTTTTCTACTGGAAGTCAGATAATATCTTGAGGTTATGACCTCCCTTATGTTTCAGTGGTAATGGCCAGTCACATTGGTAGTACAAGTTGCTATGAGTAAGTTTGACATTATCAATTAAGTAAGTATCATGAAGCTTAGTCAATCGAAAATAAATCTTGAGAAAGAAACAGCTTTGGAACTAGTTTTTCAGTAAAAGCAACCATCTTTTGTGACAAGTATAAATACACATGCACTGTTTGTGAACAATAAAGATTGTTTATTGTGGTTTTACACTTATATCAAGTTTTTCTTTATTTCACACAAACTTAGTCAGCTGAAGAATACAGAATTACTTTGTGATAAATACTTTGACAAACCTCCTGTATTCTGCAAACCTATTTTGTCATTCTGGTTGGAAATCAGTTTTACCTGAGAATATCACAGATATAGTACAAGAAATACTATACCAAATGGCTTATAGCACATTTTGACAAATCAGTAAAATCTGTCTGTCTCCCTTAATGCCTTTTTTTTTCACACAGAATAATGGTAGCCATATTTACATATTATTTTTATTTTGTTACTTTAAAGGCAAAGTTTGTAGAGCACTTAAAACAATAACTTAAATATTACAGTATCTGTGTTAGATACTGCTCTTATAACAGTAAATTAACAAACTCCTTTAGAATTTGTTTTTTGTTTTGAAGAAATGTGTATGTCACTTGTCACATTTTTCAAATTATAGGAATTTTACTAGAACAGTAAAAATAAAATTAGGTATGTATAACAGGTTTATAAAAGTATTTTCTACATTTTTGAACCATTCACTGAATTGGGTTTATAAAACAATCTTTACATCTTGAAGTGATCTGCAAAGTTTGTTAATAAAACACTTTTTATACTTAAACTGGGCTTTAAGGCTTGTTTTTAAATCTTTCCACATTTGAAGTGACCATTGAATTTTGTTTATAAAACCATTATTTGAAATGTTGTATTAATTTAGTTTGCACAACATATTCTAATTCTTGAAGTTGTCAGTGAATTTGATTTATGAAATACTAAAATGTTTTTGAAGTTTTCTGTAAATTTTTTGTAGTAAAACAATTACAAGATGTTCTTAAGTGTTAATTCTTTGAACAAGAACAAAGTATAGCAATTGTTCAGTAAGTTTTTATAATTATTGAGCAATTATTACATAGTGTCATAGATCATTTATTACAGATTTTTGAGAGATGGTCAGCTTTTACAAAGTATAACAAGAAATTATCATGACATAGTAAAGTTGTTTGTTTATAAACAGGAACTACACTTTTTTTTTGAAGTTATCAGTTTTATGTAAAACTATGAAATAAACACATTATTTTAGTTGATTGTATGATGAAACATCTTAAATTTAAATACATTACACAGTGCTCTATAAAATTTGTTTTTAATGCTATTCAACTTCCCATTGTAACTAATCTTTTGTAACATTTCTTGTATTTGAGATTGTTGACAGTTAAAATAAGAATTATTTCAGCAGCTTTATTTTTAATTATAAGACGTGTTTTCTCAGATGGATATAAACTTTAAATTTTTTAATTAAATCTATCTATGCTTATTTCACAGTTTAGTTTTGAATTATTTTTTTCAATACTCTATATTTTTTATTTTGAAAAAAAAATCTTTCAATTATAGTTAGTAATATCTCTACACTCAAGTTCAAGATCTAGTGTTTAACTGTTATTCAAGTACTGCTGTAACAACATATACCTCTTAAACTAGTCAGGTGGCTCTTGTTACCAGTCATTGGTTCAGCCAATCAGGTACTCCCAAGATGGTAGGACTTCAGTGTACTCTAAAGGTACACCTAATCATACATAGAAAAAATTTCTTTCAGCCCTAAAGCAACAATGAATGAAGTTATTTTTCATATACATTTTCTTGAAAATATCTCAGTAAAGCACTGGACTTCTGTGTTATTATTTGTCTTCCTAGGGATTGGATTATTTCTGTTTCGTCGTTGGTTGGGAGGAGGAATATGTATGAGTACTGCACGTTTAGATGGAAAAACTGTTGTAATCACTGGAGGTAATACAGGCATTGGAAAAGTGACAGCTTTGGAACTTGCTAAGAGAGGTTGGTATGTTTCAAACATGTTCACTAATTTTACCAAACTCGATGTTATATTTTTTGTAAACTATCATTTTACAAAGAAAACATATTGTTTTTCTCTCTCTTTTATAACTATTCTTGTCTTGCATAATTTTAATAAAAAAACCATAAAAAAAGTGATGTATTGGAAATGTAGATGAGATTTGTTAAAGAATTAATAAGTATGAAGAAATGGAATGACTCTATACAAAAAAAGTATAGGAACTAGAATCGGCCACTAGATGCTAAAATACTAAGTCTTCTTTCAATCTAAGAGATAGGTTGTATATTTGATAAAACAAAATACTATCTCAACTGTGAGAAACTGTGTAAAGGAAACCTGAAACTGTATATGACCTTCATACCTTAAAATACTCATGATTATAGGCAAAAGATACTCTGTTTATAAACCTTCTCTAAAAATTTTGAGGTTAAGGATACTCGAGGTAGATATATAATCAAACATATAATCAAAGATAAGTCCTGGAATTATTTAAATACAGAAACATGAATAATAAATTTATCCAGATTAATAAATATGAATTTGTCATGGACCCTCATTGATGGGTGGAAGGGCATGAAATTTAAAACTTTTACTTACCTATAAGGGTTGTAATGGTTAGACAAAGTAATGCCAGAATTCAAAATAAATAAACATCAGAAATATGAGTTGCCAAGGAAAAACTTATCTTACTTATATGAAGGGTGGATTTCTGATCAGATTAATTTTATTGAGGTAGCTTTCACTTGCTGGTAAGTTTGACACTTGTACATTATTTTGTGAAGACAACAGATGATTTGAAGTTTAATTTTGAGATTAATTCGTTAAAAGTGATACCAAGTTCATTAATAAAATATAATTAATATCTATTTTTTTAATATGTGGTCAAATGTCAAAACATAAATCATATAATACAAAGTTAGATATATCAAATAAGTTTATTACTATCCAGTTTATAGTTTTACTGTGACCTTAACATTTAACACCGTCCACAATTATGGACCTCTATAACTTCATCACTTTGATCGTTTATCTTGGATTTAACTTTGTTTTCACTGGTAGGATAAATTTATTGTTATGCAGAGCATGTTACTATTTTACAAATTGATTTTAACAAAAAAATATGTTCAGGTGAAATATAAGTCATTGTTGGTTATTCTTTTATTGAATGTTAGGATTGCTAGATAGATGGCACTATTTAGTGTTTTTTGGTGGAACAAGACTTTGTTTATGCCCACATAAATCTATTTTTGTGTCTTTTCATTGCAAAATAGGCTACATAAGGCTATCTAACTTGCAGTAGTATGGTTATAAATATCAAACATACTTGTTCATATCATAAAAATTGTTTATTACCTAAGCCAACATTAAGTGGATAATTGAACTTGTTCAGCATCTTTGATGCATTTGTTTGCTTTCTCTATGTACTAACCGACACTGACAGGCCAAGTCAAGAATCATAGTACATTGTCCACCTTTTGCAGGACTTTTAGGCTAGAATTGAAATAAAGAAATGAACAGCATTTGTACCACTTTTGTTAACATGATCTGGCAGTATCTCCATCTGAGGATGTTTGACTACCCCCTGTAGCTATCTTAACCAATTACACTAGATTATACAGAGGGGGTGAGTATTTTCATTGCTACACTTTTCTCTTCTTTACCTTTCAGGGTCCCTTATCTCATTTTCACAGGATCCCACTCTGTGCCGAGTGTTTCCAAGAAAGGTGTGCTTTTATCAAACCAATTCTGCACTATCAACCACTAATTCAATATACTGTTACATCTCTGTTTGTTAGTTAATTTTCCATAAATTCGTTCCGACACAAGTCCTTTCTTAAATAAAACTGGTTTATTCTTTCTGAATATAACTTTGTCATACACTTCATTTCAACAGTCGCGCTATAACAAACGTCTCACGTGCTCGAGTTCAATTACACACTCTCTGACTGCAGTTTAATTACTCATTGTTCCGTCACGTTGTGACCATCTTATATATACCAGATTACCCCCAATCTAGTAGTCTCCCGATAATTCATGAAGGTTCGAGAAGGACGTGGCGTGATACTAGTCACGTGACCTCGCTGATACAACAATACTTTATCTAGTCACAACAGGCTCTGTAGAAATGAGGTGTTCTATAAGACCACCAAGAGGCTGACTGGATGGTATTACTGTACTATTCTGGACTGCTACTCACGGACTATTATGAGTAAAGCATAAAGTGATCCTGCCCATCCCTGTCAATCATTAGATTGAATAAACTGGGGTCAGTTTGCTTTTAAAAATTTAGGGAACTTATTATCCTACTACACTGTTTCCAGAGCACTGTTCCTCAGCACCCCCCAATGTGCATTACTCCCAGATTCTACTAATGGAGCTAGGGAGTCCTTACCACACCTGGTTTTCAGGTCACTGGGGTGGTGGACAGAGGCTTTTCCTCCAGAGTGTTAGAGTGAATTTCCTCCACTATTGGAGAAGAGGGCAAAGTTAGGGGGCCCTCTTACCCGGGTCCCTTGATATTTTTTCCCAGATGTTGGTAGGAGAGGCACCAACCTATGTGGGAGCTTACTAGTAATACTGGTTAAAATTTGATGCTTGGCTATCTGGTTGAGTCTGGCCTTCCTTTTTGATCAATATTGGTTCATCTCATTTTTCGTGGAAGAGAGTCCATTGTTTCCTTATAATTCTGAATGCAGAGTGGTCCCATCCTGAGCCGAGCACAGTTTGTTCCACATCCTTCAAGTGAAATTTACCTTGCTCACATGGTTGAGGAGTGAGGATGAGTGTTTATAATTCCAGACCAGATGAGTTCTGTTTCCTCAGGTTGAATAAGGCATACAAGATCCTGGGGTATTATCTTTCAGACTTCTTTAGGCTGAGTAGCAGGTTTGTCCACTACGGTGTTGTCTACCTCTCATCATGATTCCAGTGGTTTGGAATCTATCACTCTATGGCTACAGGTTGGGATCCACTCATAAGCATATATGTATATACATATATATATATATATATCTTGAGGTCCAATTTCACTAGTCACCAACATGGGATATAGGGACCAGCTCTATAATTCCAACCCTGGCCAATAGTGATGATAAATCATGTAAAGTTCCACCCAAAGTACATGAATTAAGTTTTGGGTGAAGAGCATACCTGTTCTAGATATAGTGAGGTTCCTCCACTAGGGTGCCAATCTTCTGTTGACACACCCATGATCTATGCAGATGTTTTCTGTATGGATAATGCCCTCATCGGCTCCTCCACCTTCTCAATGTGGGATTCTACATGTAGTGTGAGTGGAGGTAAATATGTTTTGGAAGTTTACATTTTCTTGAATCAAAAATGTATTTACAAAAATACTTGTTTTCTTTCATACTCTCCCGCCCTTCCTCCCCACTAAAAGACTGCGGATTAAATCAGTGTCATGAGACAAATATCACCAAAGTCTATTAAGTGGGGGTATAAAAGACTGGAGCAAGCGAGAAAAAGTCAGACCAATGCTTAGATGGGCAATGGAAGAAATCCTGGCAGTCGAGTAATAGCTGTAGTGTGAGAGGAAGTAGTGTTATTGGAAATACATTTTTGATTTTAAAAAAATTTTATCTTTTACTTGTGTAAAATTGCTACTTTTGGAGCATTTAGGGTACAGGGTTAGTGTTATCCTGAGGATTTTCATTATATACAAAGGTTTTATAATTTTTGACATTTACTTCTTTTAGTGAAGTGGAGTGTTTCTGTAATAACTTGGTAATGCATTAGGCTAGAAATTTAGTCTGTATATTTAGTGATTTGTGGTTAGAATAACTATCTATGTCAGCTTTTTCCAACACCAAATATGAGGCTAGGTAAGGTATCTGTACGAGCTAAAATATTTATGTATAGAATAGTCAGTGTGCTTATTACTGAAGCTGGGCAATTAACTCTATTAATCAGTGTAATCAATTACCTAATAGCATAGATTATGTTGATTAGTGTCACATAAAATAATTGATTAACAGAAATTAAAATTAAATTGATTGATTTCACAAAAACAATCAATTAATCAAAATTAGTGTTTCCAGTTATTACTATTTTCGATTATTCCAACTGTCCAAATAATTGAAATATTGCCATTATGATTTCTCCTGATAATTTTCAATTAAATGAAGGCCGTTCAGCTTAATCGATTATTGTCATGACTTAGGAAAACAATCAGCTAACCAAAATTAATGTTTCTGATTACTACTATTTTTGGTTATTTCAACTATCCAGGTTTCATGTGAGAATAATCAATTAGTTGAGTGTACTTGATTAAGAATCTAACAATTAATCGATTAACAAATTTCACTGATTGTCTGGCTCTTCTTAGTATTGTAAAGGATTGAGGTTAGAGAGAATAATGTTTAAAGTTTTACATCAGACTGGTGAATGTCTAGATTTTCCTTATTAATCAGGGGGTATAAGCTTTTCATGTATGTGTGTTTATTAGCACCAAGATAGAAGTTACTGTGATGTTTATTTTATAATTTTTTTATGTACATTGGTCTGTACTTATGAGATGTATGTTGTATTTATTCAATATGTAGTGCTTTTTAATATGATTTCTGGACTGAACTGTGTACTTGTGTGGTTAATAAAAGGTAGTGTTTTCACTCATTGATTGATTTTGCACAACTGTAAGGTGATTTACTTCTAGTTTATTATAGGTTTAATAATATTACCAGTATTATTGTAGTGTAAAACATCTATGTTGTCAAGTACATACGTTGTGTGGGAGATCATGAATAGCATTGTGCTTCATTCAGCTCAGTAAGTTTTAGAACTGGGGAAAACTTGGCCCCCTTTTATTGAATCGAAACCTGAACAAGCAGTAACATGAATATTAAAAGAGGGCCAAGGTTTCCTTAATTTTTTACTATTTCACATATCCACTTTTCAATTACATCTTTACAGGATTTGCCTTTATATGTAATTTGGCATTTGTTTTAAAACACATATTTATATG